GGAAATTTCGAAAAATTTTATTCTTGTTAAATCATCACATTTTTATAGTCCTTTATCACTCATCAATTAGTTTTTTCAAAAACTAAATAGTTTAAGCAAAAAAACGTTTGGTTCCATACTTTTTATTTACCTGGTATGTGTTTTCTATTTTTCTAATAAATAAATTCCTTTTTTAGATACCAACCTTTAGGAGGAGTCAGTCACCTTTGGACGTTTTCGTCATTCCTGAACTCTCTCAAAAAAGAAAATTAACCGACGTACCCTTTCTTATAACACTAGGAATATGTGTTGTGATTTTGGTACTTTAATACTAAATTGGTATAAATTTTTATAAAAAATTATACGTTACAGATGGTAACAATGATATACACTTTATGTTATTCGGATATAAACCGAGTTTTGCATGGGTATGACTACTGTGGTAATGTTTGCGGTGAAAAAAATAGTCCTGTTGAGGGTATACCCTGTTCGGGTCAAGATATGACAAACAAACCGTGAGTTAAAGAATTTATGAGTATTCAAATAGTCGAATTTTTACATTAATTGTAAAAATTGTTACTTGTTTAGATATCTAGAAGGGTCGACATGTGTTGAGAATTGCAGGTATTCAGAGTGAGTATTACTATATTAAAACTCCCTTTTCTTAAAAAAAGAAAAATGTGCGTGTTGCTTTTACTTCTACAGGATGTTTACTAGAATTCGAGACTTTGAAGGAAAAATTATTTAAGTAAAATAATGACAGCGATATTTTTTTCAGTCATAATTATAAAATGAAACTAGAACTTCTGCAAGTTCTGCGGTCCATTATATTATATTAGTGACCTTTAAACGCTAAAATTAAAAAAATATATACAGGGCATTGATAGATAGATACTAATCTAGTTTATCGCCTAAACTTATTTTCAACTATACAGCGTGTCTCAAAAATAAGTTACAATACAAACTTGTGTTTTTTAATGAAACATTTCTTAGCGTTTTTGGATATAGATTTTTATGACAATGTTTCTAAGCTAAACTTTGATTGGTCGATTTTGTTTAGTTTTAAAAATAAGACGGTTTTTTTTTTGACGAAAACATGCACTTTTTTAAAATTTATTACACAAAAACTGAGACATCTACACCTTTTTCAAGTGTAATTCAGAAAGCGTAAGATACATTTCAGAAAACTTTAATTGTAATTTAGATTAGTCAATTATATTTCAGAAAGTATTAATTGTAATTCAGAACCGTAAACTGAATTTCAGAAACCATCAGATGTAATTCAGATTAGTTAATTTAACTTCAGAAAGCGTAAATTAAAATTCAGATTAGTCAATTGTAATTCAGAAAGTGTTAGTTATAATTTAGAGTTTGTCATTTGTAATTCAGAATTCGTTATTTTCATTTAAAAATTACATTACCAAAATTGCTTTGAAAATAAAATATCTTATTTATTTTGCAAAATAGCAAGTTTATGTAATTCTTTAATTCTGAAAATAAAATAATTCGTGTTTATGTGTAAACTTCATTTTGAGATAACAGTAAATTACTCATCTGAATTACAATTGATATTTTCTGGATTACATGTAACATGAAATTGAATTTATTTACTGTTCTGAATTACATGTAATGGCTTCTGAATTACAATTATTACTTTATGAAATACAAGTAACTAATCTGAATTCCAATTTATGCTTTCTGAAATTAAATTATCTAATCTGAATTACATCTCATGGTTTCTGAAACTCATTTTACTCTTTTGAATTACAATTAACATTTTCTGAAAGACAATTGACTAATCTAAATTTCAATTTACGCTGTCTGAAACTAAATTGACTAATCTGAGTTACATGTGATGGTTTCTGAATTACACTTGAAAAAGGTGTAGAAATATTTTTTTTACTACCGCAAGGAGGAAAGTACGTTATAAGGTTGTAACATTTTTTTTGTGTTGCATTTGCAAAGATAAAAAAAATCAAAGCGTTTGTTAAAAGTTGAATAACTTTAAAAAATTAAATGGAACACCCTATTTATTGTTTTTGCATTTTAAAGATTATTAAATTGTCTTTCTAAAATTATTTACTTTTAGGTGTTTATAATTAATAACTAAAAAAATATTTAACCTTAAACATTAAAAAAATACTGTTGTTTCAGTAGCCAAAAAGTGTACAGTTGCACAAGAGATGGAAAAAATATCACTTAATAATCACATTTGTGTTAAACTGAAAATAATTTTAGGTGAAGCACTAAATTAGTATCTATAAATGTCCTATACAACTTTTTTTAATTTTATCATTTAAAGGTCAGTAATGGACTTTTTCAACTCGCTGGGACATCCTGTATAATTAATAAATATCTTGAAAAATAAATTTTTGTTTGAGTCTTCTTTCTAGTTTCAGTGAAATTCAGTGTTATTCTTTTTTTGACAATATTTAAATTAAGTAACAAATAATGGAATTCTAAAACATAAGTATTATTTCAAAAACCAGAATTTCATTATAAGAAGAAAAATCCAACATAATTTTTTTTATTTTTATTTTGAATTTTTTATTAACACTAAATAACTTTTTATAGTTTTCTAGTGGTTTTGCTCTAGCACCTCTAGTTTTTCGTACAATTTGAATCTAGTTTTAGCATGAAAAATTAAAAAATACGATTAAATTTCTCCTGTTTTAGCACAACGGAATGTAGCGCCTCGGATGTCTTTAATGTAAGATTAAAAGTAATAAGATATTTTGTGTTTCATAAAGACATTTCAGGACTTTAGCAATGAAGGCACACATCTAGCAATACTTTGCTGCATTGGACTTGGTAAATTATTTCGATTTTGACCCGAGTAAAATTATTTTGCAATTTTTGCAGTTCTTTCAATTATCGCGTTGTTATGCTTCCGCTATTTTGTGGACGTTTTTGTTTGGACTATGCTGATAGGCGCTGTTTTACTGATGTTTGCTCTCACAGGGTTTGTTTGGTAAAAATGAACAATTTGGAAAATAAATATATTTTGAAACAATCGTTATTTTTCCAGGTATCGTTACGCCCAGGCTGCAACATACGAACGAACCAGTTTTTTAATATCGGCCATCATTTTAACATTCTTCTCGGTTATTTTCTCATTATTTATTTTATTGCTAACGGTTCAAATTAAATTGATTATCAGATTTTACGAGGAAACTATCAAAATAGTGTTTGCGATGCCTCTAGTTCTCCTAGAACCTGTCTTGGTAATTTCATAAAGTTTTTATACAGGCTGTATTATGAAAAACGCCCCAAGCCATAACTCCATTATTTTTAAAGTTATGACAATACTTCTTAGAACAAAGTTGAACATTTTTTTGTCATCTATCGTTTGGGATAGATGCTAAATTAATGCTGTTTTCTGTTTCACCGGAAATGACATCAACTTTATTTTTTTTAATGGAACATCCTGTATATTTTACCACTTTCGGATTCTTTGTTTAATTGTCTTTTAACAAGTTTTAGTACCATATGCCTAAAACTAACCGTTCGTGAGATATTTACCAAATAATGTATTTATTAAAGTAGACAGTGGAAAACAATAATATCAAGTAATGTTGACAAATATTATTCCTTTGCATTTTCTCTTACTGTTTTTATACTTTTTAATGTTAATCATGGATGATAATGTGTTAACAGACATATTTTGAATAAAATAAAAATTGTGGGAGAGCACTACGCTTTTACACTGGGTGATTTCTGGTGAGAGACGTTCCAAATCGTCGAAAATTTAAGCGACTTAAAGAAAATTTGAGGATATTTTGGGCTTTTAGAAAACCCAAATTAAAACATCTCCAATTTCAAAGAGATACAGAATTAGATAGGTATTGAAGAAAATGCAAGAACATGAATTCAAGAAATTGCAAGTAACGTTGGCTTATCGCACGCAACTGTTCTAATTTGGGATTTTGGGTTTTCTAAAAACTCCAAACATCTTCAAATTTTCTTCAGGTTGACGAATTGGAGCTTCTCTTATTGGAAACCGCCCAGTGTAAAGGCGTTGTGGTCTCCCAACTATTTTTATTGCTTTCAAAATATTCTTGAATCATGTCTGTTAACACATTATCACCAGAACACCAAAAAGTATTAAAATAATAAGAGAAAATGCAAAGTAATAATATTTGTCAACATTACTTAACATTATTGTTTTCCACTGCCTACTTTAATAAATTTGACTCATATCTCAGGAACGGTTGGTTTTAGGCACATGTTACTAAAACTTGTTAAAAGACAATTAAAGAAAGAATCCAAAAGTGGTATAATATACAGAGTGTTCCATTAAAAAAAAAGTTGATGTCATTTCCGGTGAAACAGAAAACAGCATTAATTTAGCATCATCCTAAACGATAGATGACAAAAAATGTTCAACTTTGTTCTAAGAAGCATTGTCATAACTTTAAAAATAATGGAGTTATGGCTTTGGGCGTTTTTCATAATACAGCCTGTATAAAAAAAACACAATAATTATGTCGCAATTTTTAGACATTTATCTCGCTTTTTGTAATTGTGGGTTTATGTCTTTACACATTTGTTTTAATGGTCCACGCTGGCAAATTACAAGAAGCTGATGATCAATACTCGCATGATATGAAAAAATATGAGTATGTCCCAGACGGTGGTATGATTTTTGCCACAGTTTTTGCTTGGATAATGATGTTATGGATGGTGCAGTTTGTACTAGCATGTCAACAAATGGTTATTTCGGGTGCTGTATCTAATTATTATTTCACACGGTGACAACTAATTAATAAAAAATTGACTAAACTTTACCCTTTTACTTTTACAGGGACAAGCTTGCTTTGGTTTCACCCATTTATAGCAGCTTTTATAATTTAATTCGGTACCATCTTGGTTCCGTCGCATTTGGTTCTTTGATTATCACAGCTATTAATATACTTAAAATAATACTTCGGGCAGCAGCGCGAGAAAATGGATGCATGCGATTAATTTATATTTGTTGTTTTAGACCACTGGAAGATTTGGTAAAATATATGACATCGATGGGATATATCGTAACAGGTGCTTTTTTGACGTAAACTTATTCCTTTTAACAGTTAATAATTTTTAGCTATTCATGGTCAACCCCTTTGCCGATCGAGTGTCCGTGCTGTCAATTTAATTATTAGTAATTTACTGAGTGCTGTAGCAATGAATTCGATTGGGAATTTTGTGTTTTTTATGGTGAAATTGTTTGTGGTTGCTATCACTGCGCTGATTGGGTATTGGATGAAGGTATGCCACTTCTTTCAAAAAAAAAATTACTTAATTGTAGTTGTTTCTGCAACTTCAAGTAGATTTACAATGAAACAGGCTGTAAGAATTGCAGTTGTTCCAGCCATTTTAAGAATTCACAATTCATATTTGAAATTTGAAATGTGTTACAGGAGTCAAAGGATGACAGTAGTAAAGTTTACTGATAATGCCTAAAAAATATAAAACTTCTATTTACTTTTTAGAAAAAAAAAAGAAACAAATATAAAAAAAATGTTAAGTACAAGAATAACCTCTGAGTTTTGGTAAATTTTCAAAATTAAGGGCAATTCTTCGCGAATTAATAAGCTGGTTCTTTTTTATTTGTTCTTTCATTAAAAAAAATCTACTTATGTCAAAGTGTTAAAAATAATTTCAAAGCTTTTTAAAAAATTGTGAAAAGTTTTCGCTTTTTTTAGAGGTAGCTAAAAAAGAAAATGAATTTTGTTATCTTCTGGTTTCATGTTTTATAAAAACAACAAATGCAAGAAATGGAAAAATTAGTTTGCAGAAAATTTAATTTAAGTTTAATATTAATTTTTTAATAGTAATTCATAATTGTTTCTGCAACTTCAAATAGATTTACAATGAAATAGGCTGTACTGTAAGAATTGCAGTTGTTCCAGCCATTTTAAGAATTCGCAATTCATATTTGAAATGTAATAGTTACAGGAGTCAAAGGATAACAGTAGTAAAGTTTGCTGATAATGCCTAAAAAATATAAAACTTCTATTTACTTTTTAGAAAAAAAAAAAAAAAGAGAAACAAATTAAAAAAAAATAAGTACAAGAATAACCTCTGAGTTTTCGTTTTTTTTTAATTATCAAAATTAACGCAATTCTTCGCAAATTAACAAGCTGTTTCGTTTTATTTATTCTTTCATTAAAAAAATCTACTTATGTCAAAGTGTTAAAAATAATTTTAGAGCTTTTAAAAAAATTGTGAAAAGTTTTCGCTTTTTTTACAGATAGTTATAAAAGAACATGAATTTTGTTATCTTCTGGTTTCATGTTTTATAAAAACAACAAATGCAAGAAATGGAAAAATTAGTTATTACTTTTTTAAGACCGATTTGCAGAAAATTTAATTTAAGTTGAATATTATTTTTTTAATATTAGTTAATATTAATTCATAATTGTTTCTTCAACTTCAAATAGATTTACAATGAAATGTAATAGTTACAGGAGTCAAAGGATAACAGTAGTAAAATTTACTGATAATGCCTAAAAAATATAAAACTTCAAAAAAAAAGAATCAAATTTAAAAAAAAAATGTTTAGAAGAATAATCTCTGAGTTTTCGTTTTTTTTTTGTTAAATTTTCAGAATTAAGCGCAATTCTTCGCGAATTAATTGTGAAAAGTTTTCCCTTTTTTTACAGGTAGTTAAAAAAGAAAATGAATTTTGTTATCTTCTGGTTTCATGTTTTATAAAAACAACAAAAAAAATGCAAGAAATGAAAAAAATAGTTATTATTTTTTTTAAGACCGATTTACAGGAAATTTAATTTAAGTTGATATTAATTTTTTAATATTCATTAATATTAAGTCATAATTGTTTCTTCAACTTCAAATAGATTTACCATGAAATAGGCTGTACTGTAAGAATTGCAAAAATAATTTCAGAGCTATTTAAAAAATTGTGAAAAGTTTTCGCTTTTTTTTAGAGGTAGTTAAAAAAGAAAATGAATTTTGTTATCTTCTAGTTTCCTGTTTTATACAAACAAATGCAAGAAATGAAAAAAAAAGTTATTATTTTTTTAAAACCAATTTACGGAAAATTTAATTTAAGTTGAATATTAATTTTAATGGGGGTAATGGCATACAGGGTGACCCAGGGGTGCGTGCAAACGCCATAACTTTTTTCTGTCCAAGTTATCGACATGATTTTTTTTAGGCGATAGATTCAACAATGAGGCATAAAAATATTTTTATTCATATACAGGTTGTTCCAAAATAAGATACACAACTAAGTTCTGTTTTTTTAAATGAAAACCCTAAATTTTTGTTACATTTTTGGACTCGCCACTAAATTGTTAATATAATGCACCCTTTCTTAAACTTATCTGCAATAGTTTTTGACTTATGCCAATTTATGTGTCAAAATTGCGTCGTGCGTAGACCCACAAAAAAATTCATAAGTTCGAAACTATTGAAGATAATTTAACCAACTTTTTTCCAATCGATTCCTTAAGCTTTAGCGCATTTTCTGAGATAAAGGCAAACTCGGAGTCAATGTTCCATCACCTACTACGATTTTTTGAACAAAATTCAAATGGCAATAACTCGAATTTTTTAATACAACACTCTATATTTTATTACATCATAGCATGGATTTTTTTATGAGCTTTTTGTCGATTTAGGGTTTATGGGGTCTACTTTATAAAATTTGTGAGATCTTTGCAAAATAAGAAATGTTTAGGTGTGTTTCTTATTTTGGAACACTCTGTATATGAATAAAAATATTTTTATAATAGACCCCATTGTTGGATCTGTTGCCTAAAAAAATTATGTCGATAACTTGGATAGAAAAAAAGTTATGGAGCTTGCACGCTCCCCTGAGTCACCCTGTATATTCCAACTCGATTGTAATATACTATACTTATAAAATTAGACTTTTTATGGGACTTAAACTGTTAATCTAGAAAATGGCTATAAAAAAGAACAATATGAACATATTGACAGCCTCATGTGAAAATAACGTAACAGCGAAACTGAAAATTTTCAGGAAACATGAAACTGAATAAATAGTGATTTGATCTTTTTTCAGCTTTCCGTTCTACCTATCGTAATTGGAGCTGTGGTTGCATTTGTGTGCATTCATTGTATCTTCGTTGTTTTCGAAGTAACTTTGAATTTTTTTTATTCCATATTAATTTTTTTTTTTAGGTTGCTGTAGATACAGTATTAATCTGTTACTGTGAAGATAACTGCGTCAACAATGGTACTAATCAACCGTTTTATGCAACTGTAGAATTTTACCAGCAGGTTAAGCAGGCGCAGGCTTTGACAAAAAGTATTGAAGCAAAGAAGAAAAAGAAGTGAGATAATAAATTGCGTTTTTTTCTAAAATTTTTAAACTTCCTGAAGTATTATGTATACCTAACTATAATTTTTTTTTATAATATGTGTAGGCCAATAAAATAAAATAAAATAGCTTGTTAAATATTTATTCATTAGGTGCACACACAGATGCATACAAAGAGACAACTATTACTAACGACAAGACCAGCTTGACATCAATAAATAGCATCTACAAAATAAAGGCACACAAAAGTGTTAGGAAAGAGATGTTACATTTCAAAAAATAATAAATTAGCATAAAAGGCTGAGTAACATAAAAAACTAATGAACTAGTTACAGTGAGAGGTTTGTGCATAGCACATACTTACAAAGTACTGTTTTAACTTTTATTTTTGCATGAAGTGCAATGGTTAAAATAGTACTTGTTTCAATGGCGTAATGAATCAGATCGATACTTCTTCCTAAATTAAAATATCTAAAATCACACAATTAAACATTTTTCATAACATTGAAAACAACGCAACTATTGCACATTTACTAAATTCTAGATAAACTCTGCTTGCAACTGTGAGACTACATTGTCCTTATAATATAGTAAAAATGAAAAATACGTTTATACACAATTTTTATTTTTTATCGTAGAGTACATACACCTGGCGTAATATTTATATTCAATAAAATTAGTCAAAATGCAAATTTGGTTCATTAATATTAATTTAAATCAGTCTTATTCGTTTAAAATCTGAAGTATGAGAAACTTTCAACAATTTCATTAAATATAAATAGAAGAAAATTGATTACATGGGAAATAGCATATGGATCTAGTTTAAGAAGAATCTATGCTACAACACACTTAAAAAAAACTAGTTCCAGTGATACTTATTGCGGTTTTTGAGTATTTTGAAATACCCTTAGGGTACCAACCTGAAAAATAGGTGCGTAAGAGGTACTTTGCAGGGGAATGTAAACTACTAGTAAGGCCCCTTTAGAACACTTTTTTTTTAATAATCATTTTGACTTATTTTTAAGGTATGTTTAAAAATTAATTTTTTTCAAAGATTTTACCCTGTTTTGAAGTTTGTACTAGTAGGGGCCCTTTAGAACACTATTTTTTTAATACTTGTCCCTTGCTTTTTCATAAAAATGTCAACATATTAAGGAAAATCCCCCTTTTTTCCAAACGAGAATACGGTTTCGTCCAAACAAATTTCGCTTTCAAAAACACTCAAAATTATTTCGCCCTAAGAGACTTTTTTCCTGTTAGGCCCCCTCGGCACACATCGTTTTTTTTTAGCAAATATACCCTGTTTTTCAAAGTACTTTTTTTAAGTTAAAATTTTAAGAAATGTACCCTGTTTTTCTGTTGGGCCACTTCAACATAAAAATGAATACCGTTTTGGCCAAGCAAATTCTCCTTTCAGCACACAACACTTTTTAAAGGATTTAAGGTACACTTGAGTGCAAAAAAAACGCAAATTGTCAAAAACAAAATTGTCAAATTTTTCAGAGATTTACATAGTGTGAAAAAGGTTGTTCCCAAAAAGGATAGAAAACTATCAAAAGAAATGTCGTATTTGGTGATCTTACCAATGTAGTGTGATAGTCAGTCAGTGTTAAAAACGAAATAGAAAAACTTGATAGAAGTATTAGAAGTTTCGAAGATGCCTAACAATTATGAAATTATGAATTGTGACAAAGACAACGTCAAAAAACTGGCATTTATTACCAGGCCAAACGACATTATAAAAAAAATTATTTGTGTTTTTTTTGCACTCAAGTGTACCTTGTTAAAAGTTAAAATTTACTTTTAAAACTCTTCAATTTTAAAGCATTTTTAAAAAGCTTACTATGTGGGCCTGTTTAACACAACACTTTTTAAGGATTCTGTCCTTTATAACTATAAGGTAAGAAGTTGGAATTGTTACGAAATACTGTTATTTTGCTCACAAAACAAAAAATACTATCAGAGAAATTCTCAGAAAAAAATCTGATATAAATAAAGTTTTAGTATTGGCACTGATTAAAAACTTTATAACAATTAATTTAATTATTAAATTCGTTTCTACTTAGTCTTGTCGCTGAAAGTCGTATCGGTTGTGTTATATTTTGAGCCTTATTATTATTAATATATTCAAAATAGTGTTGATTAAAATTTTAACTTTTAAAAACAGGGTATAATTGTTAAAAAAATGATGTGTGCTGAGGGGGCCTAACAGGAAAAAGGTCTTAAACACAGAGCAAAATTCCTAATTTTAAGTGTTTTTGAAAGGGAAATTTGTTTGGAGGAAACCGTATTCACATTTGGAAAAAAGGGTACATTTTTTTAAAGGGTATCTTTGAAAAAACAGGACAAAATGATTAAAAAAACAAAGTGTTCTAAAGGGGCCCTACTGTACAAATTTCAAAACAGGGTAAAATCTTTGTAAAATGTTAATTTTTAAATATACCTTAAAAACAAGGCACAAAAGTGTTCTAAAGGTGCCTTACTAGTAGTTATAAAAGTAAAATTTTCTATTGCTAGCTGTAAGAGTATTTTTCTATTTTGCATCTGAAACAAAGCTCATTTCGATACCAAAACCCATGCTTTAATGAGCCATTTCAATACCAATTCGGGTGCTGAAATAGACTAGTACAATTTACATTTTAAAGGTTGGTAATGGTGATTTTCAGCGGCGTTTTGAGCGATTTCTCTCATTTTTAGGTGGTGTGCATGAAACATTTACAGTATTCATTGTTAATTCAACAAAATTTTGAAAAATATTCGAGATTTGACACTTCGAAAAGCGAGTTTTGTATGACATTTATTAGGGTAAAAGTTACTAAATTAAAAAAAAAAAACACTTTCATGTTAAAAAAGTACGCAAAACGCGCAAAATATCATAAAAAACTCGCACTTCGCTACTCGTTTCATAAACCTTCAAAATAGTATTTTTTGATTACCTGGAAATTGTAATATACAGAGTTGTTCACATAAGACTCCGCGTTTGGCAAGGTACAAAAGACAACACAATAACATGTTAAAAAACAAGTATTACAAACCCCTCATTGTGATACGATACGAGTAGTTGTTACACGAACCACGAAGTGGCGAGTATCACAAACGCAAAGTTCTAAAGTCAGATTTCTATCAGCGCAAATTCTCCTTAAACTGTATCCATTTAACAAACTTAAATTACTTGTCTGGAAGACTTGAGTATTAAAAACACCCATTACAAAGTTAGATTACAAAAAAATAAATTAAGTCTGGTAAAAAGTAATGGACCCGACCAGCGGATTGCACAGAATAAATCTTAAAAAAACTATACCTCTACTAATGACATTAAAATTCACAAAACACCTGCATTGGTTTGATTTAATTCCAATTTTTTGATTAACATCTAAAAGTGTTGAAACGCAAAAGTCCAGCAACATCCAAATATTAAAAAACAAGAATGTAAATGGAAAGTACGACATATTATCCTACACTTTGGCCAAGTTTGACTCTTAAAGAATGACAACTAGATTTTGAGCTTAATAAAGAGATTGCTATTGATTCGACTACGATCGTAAAATAGACAGGTCTGGAAACTCCATTTATAAATACGTTTGAAATTGAATTATTTTTTCTGAATCGTGGGTGGTTATGCAGGGCAACTATACCCGTGGTGCATTTTGGCAGCGTTTCTCTATTTCCAACGTTTCTAAATATTTTTGCCTCTTGTGCACAGTTTTTCAGTGTTTTAGGATGGTTTTCTTTGATTTATACTTCATGTTTTCTTGGTTAATAACTTATTTTCCTTTGTTCTGTTTACCTTGATTTTTTATCTAAATTAACTATTAAAAATATTTTTTTGGTTTTGAGTTTGGCGTTCAATGTTTTTGGCAATGAAAAAGGTAAATATATGTGGTTTTTATATCTTGTTTACACAAAAACACTTCTGCAGATGCCCACAATTTGTGCTGTTTTCCATTGCACGTCTAAATGAAGTAGTAAACAATTATTTTTTTTTTGGGTGAAAGAAAAATTGGACCCAAGGACAAGGGATGAAACCCTAAATACTGTACTGCAAAGAAAAGACAGAAGCTGTCAATTACATTTTGAGAAAAAAGATACAAAATCAGAGAGAAAACATTAAAACATTTAACATTGAAGCATTTAATCGACTAGGGTTTTGAGATTTGACATATTTGTATTAGTCTAAAAAGTAATATTTTGTCTTTAAAGTCCACAAATGTATGAAGTTTTTAAAAAATTATTTATTTCTTTATTCTGTTTACAAAGTGCCCGCTCACCACAAAAATAGATCCTGAAATTGTCTTTATTGTGAATGTGGTTTTCTTTATTATTCAAAAAATCTTGTTGTACACGAAGTGGGATCTGACCAAGTAAAAAACACCAATGTAACAAAGAATAAATATAACAAAATATCACCAATTTTAAAGTAATGCTAAATCAATAAGTGGTGAATTAACTAACGTCTTTCAACATTTTTTAAATAGTTTCCTTCATAACAGAACTCCAAGAAAATTTTTTTTAAAGCTAACTAATGTAGTTTAATACCAGACATTAAACTGCAATTCCATTTAGCCTATTTCAACGTTCAAAAACGGTTGGAGATAAAAATCTCTTGAACATTCTCTTCAAGAAAATTTTATTCTCTACAACCCCTTGATTGTATTTGTTGTAAATGTAACGTTTTTCGATCTTTTTAATTAAAGAGAATTATTCGCAAATGTTAAACTTGGTTTTGAATTTTATATAACTCATTTAAGAATACTTTCAGATGAAATATCTGTAATATTTTTTCAGGATTGTAGGGAATTGAATGTCACGGTATATTATTGTCCGTGCTTAAAAATGACAAGTGACAGTCCTTTCGGTCTTGGGGGAGCGACGAGTCCGGGCTCCAATGGAATCTGTATATTTTGGTTTGAAACTTTGATAAATTTTTCTATATGTACACAAAAATTTACTTTTGTGTTTTATGGGTTGTATAATAATAAATGCGTAATTGTTTATTCTACTTTTGAATTTTTTCTAAGAACTGGACAAAAAACATCAAAAATTAAAACATTTTATACGCAAATATAATATTATTTATTTAAAAAAATAAACATATTTTCTCAACGTCTTTTAAATTATTGCTTTCAGCAGTTATTCTGTTTTTATTTTAATTAAATTAGTCAAGCCTGGATCCCATTAACAATTTCCCATAAATCTGTCTAAAGTTCTTCTGGATGGAGCTTTTAAAAACAGACTTCTTTTCGCAAATTCATAACCTTTTGAAGAAATGTACCTCCAATGACGTACTGTAACTTCACACCATCTTGGATTTTTTAGGGAATAATTATAATTTGATCAAGTAAAAAGAAAGCCCTTAGTTCATCTAACTCAATTTTCACCACACAATGTTGACCTTTACTGTGCTTCCTGTAACTTTTTTTCTAAATTTTGAATTTTATCTAGTAAGACAAACTTATTGCATCCGAAACATTTTTTAAATCAAAATCATGAGTATCACCTACTTTTAAACCGCTTTGTTGATCAAAATCAAATCGAAATGGACTTGAAATTAGGTATATAATTTTTGTCAAATGACTCTGGAGATTGGAGACACGGTGCAGACGTTTCTAACGGCTTACGTTCTGAATTAATGGAAGTGGTAGAGATTACCTGAAAACGAGTAATTCTTTTATAATTCAAGAGCAAGGATGGAACTGTATTTGGTAACAATTTTTTGTTTTTATAATAGCTCGTTATTTCAAAGTGTTTTCCACAAATCACGGAATTTGGGGGTATATTGCCGATGGTACCAAATATTCTTTTAAGCCATTCGTTTTTTTGATTCCTACTGTTTGGAAATTGATGTAAAATAACATCCTCTTTCTCCTCTAGCCCACAGTTTGGAACACAGCAAGTTGGGATACTTGGCATTTTAAAAATTATAATGTAATGTCTGAATGATATTGATACTGCGCTTCTTAAGCTAAAAAAATGAATTAGTTGTGTGACAGATCAATATTTTATTAAATGTGTCAACAACTGTAACATTTAATTTCTTGCAAAATTTCAAATTTCACAAATTACAGTTTCCTTTGGAGCGTGACGAGCGCGTCATCTACCGGAATTTACCACTTTGACAAGTTCACGATTTTGGCCTATTGCCCAGACTTTTATTAGTGTCAATCAACGCAGACGACGATAAATACGCAGTAATTAACGTAGTATCCGATAGAGGCACAACTGGCCCTTAAAACCTACTGAGATCCAGATTTTTTAATTCAATTTTGAAACACGAATTTCCAGACCTGTCTATTTTACGATCGTGGATTCGACTAACGCTTTAACTTTGGTTTATGACAAATTGACTTACTGTCAACAAAAACTGCAACATTTCGACGCCTGTCCAAGATGCACCGCACAAATCCCCGTCAATTCAGTGCACACATTATTCAATTGCACAACAGTGGACGACTTCCTCCGCGGTTTATCGTTTTGATTAATATCACCATCACTATTCCGAATAACACTCACAGCCCTCTGCCTGCAACGCATCACAGTCTCCGGATTCAGGGCGATTTTATCGCGCGATAACGAGCTACACGACTGGGCTTTATACAATCTATTCCGAGTAAACAGCCCCGGGAGAGGAATACACAACTTCTTGTGGACTTGGAAGTACTTCCCCAATAACCGCATCTTCTTCAACCCCGATCTCTCACTCACAATCTTATTTTCAATCTCAATTCCATCGAAATCAGCGCTTTTGACCGTATCTTTGCGCGATATGTGAGTCACTTTCTCCTCTTGGTTCTTCTTCGACATGTTATTGAACCCTTGGAGGATCCTAGCACCGATCCCCTTGACTTTGGGGTTCATTACACCCTGTGTTCCTACTACACTAGTGGCAATCACTAGGGCATGTGCCCCGTCTTCTTGAACCTCAGTGATGCGATTCAAAGATTGGCTTTCTCTGAGTCTCGTCTCCCCGTTTCTCCTCCGACCTGCTTTATGCCTTATATTGGTGTTTTTCCTCCCACCTGTGGTGTTCCCTCCCGTACTCCCATTCTTGTGTTGTTGACTATTACTAGTGTTTTGTCCCGTCGTTGTGATTTTATTGTTATTACCACTGGTTCCAGTCCCAGTACTGGGTTCTTGTGAGTCGCTACTGTCGTCATGACTGTCTCGACGCCCTTGAAAGGGCTTCGCACTCGCATTGGTCAATTTATGTGCCCTTTTTTTCCTTTTTTCACTATCGTCGTCGCTGGCATCCGAGGAACTACACGACGCCGTCCTCGCTTTGTGAAACTTTGACCGTCTTTGCTCATACGAAGTCCGATTCTGATTCCTGAGAAATTGTCTAGAGGTTGGTCTCGGGGTTTCCTGGCCATCGCCCTCTTCGAAAATCTCGTTCAATTGAAGAGGTGAGCCCCCACTTAACCCTGTGGTTCGCGTAGGTGAGGGCATTGTCTTGTATTTGGGGATTGTCTGACTCAGGGGCGAATTCGTCGTGATTATCGGGATTGAGATGGTTGAGGAATCGGTGATGATTGTGGTGGTGGTGGCGTCGGTTTTGGGCACCATGTCTTTGATTATTTTTGATTCGACTAGACTGGAGCTTTTTTCCATGCGCCATTTCATGTTTGTTTGGGGTTTGTCGTTGGGTTGGCGCACTTGGACTTTGGGTTTTGCATCAATGGATTCGATTTTGTCCGTGATGGGTTTGAGGCGTTCCGATTCGGCGAGACGCTCTTGGAGGGCTAAATTGAGGCGGCCTTCGGAGCGGGAGCCGCGACGGTTGAGAGGTGGGACGAGTTCTTCACGACCGGAACAGCTTGAAATGTCCTCTTCTTCCTCGTCTTCCTGCACGATGCTGCATTTGCGAGATCTCTGTGGACGAACAGAATGTTTTTAGAGGTGTTAAAGGACTAGATTAAGACTGTAATAAAACTTGGGATTTTTGGTTTTTCTATACCTACTCCCCAAAAAATTAAATGAACAAAAATGGTCGTATCTAAATTAAAAAAAAAAAACATTTTGAAGCTTTAGTTTCTAGTTTTGAGATCTAAATTTTTATGGTTTTGTTTTTGGTCCAGTTAAGTTAATTCAATTAAGTTAAGTTAAGTCAATTTATAGTCCGGATAGCATATTTGTTTACCATTAATATGCTTTCTTCATATTCTCTTTACGACAATTAAAATTAAAAATTAATGCTTAATTTTTGATTATTCAAAAAAACGTTTTATAGATTTTTTCAAATTTGTAAAAAAAATTCAAGAAACAATACTGATTAATTTTTGAAAAAAAAAATCAAAATTTTTTTTATATTTTTTTTTCAATTTTTTTTTCAAATTTAACTAATGCAAAATTGTAAAAGAAAGCTAAAAAAACTCGTTTTTCTCATCTTGACGAAGATTAGATGAAAAAAATATGTACAATTATTCCTTTAATTCTTTTGCAAAACTTTGATCAATCGGTCCGAGAAAACGGTTTAAATATTTACAGAGATATGGGGGAACTATATTAAAGGTGAACAAACATGCTATCCGGCCTTTGCATTAACTTAACTTAAAAAAAATTCCCCACGTCCATGGACCAAAAACAAAAACATAAAAGTTTAGAATTTCTTTTCTCGCGCTATTATTTAGAATTGCGTGATAACTGTAGCACAGAAAAAATATTTGCCCAAAGATCTCAAAACTAGCAATTTAAAGCTACAAAATGTTTTTTTTTAATCTAGACACGAACATTTTTCGATGAGTTACAGCCTTTCAAAAATCACCAAAAAATTTAGGAAAATTTTTGTTCCTTAAATTTTGGAAAAAAATAAAATTTTGGTAATAATTAATCTGTTGCGTTTTAAATATTTACGTGGAGCAGTTTCATAAATTCCAAAACAAAATTATTTTTGGTATCCTTTTAAGGATTTGTCTCCTTTTGGACTTCAAGCGGGTGTTACACATTTAGGAATGTTTAACAACTAAAAATTCGGTTATTTTTTTTCTTTTTGCTGAAATAATTCTTATATCTTTAAGCTTGTCCGACCTTTTTGACACACCCGATATAATAATTTACAGTCCTATTTTGTTCTGTTCAGAAAAACCTTTTAAATTGAATAATAATCAAATTAAAATAATAATTATTTTGAGGCAGAGTTCACAAAAAATATTTAAAAAAGTCCACCACGACACTTTTAAGAAATATGTAATTAACAAAAATACAAAAACAGCCAAATAACAAATTAAAAATGAGTTTTTTAACTTTGTTTTTTATAATTTTTTGGATCAGTTTTCTTTATAATAGTCCAACAGTAATCTCCTAATATAAAAACCTTTGTGCCGATCTTTGAACCCTTCAGATAAAAACGCTTGCCCTGTTCGTCACTGATATTGCCTAAGTTTTTAGACAAGAAATCCAAATGTGAGTCAGTGAAATATGTTTTAAGACCCATTTAGACCTATCTGGTGATAATTTTGCAATAATTCACCAACAATTTGTATTTTAAATTGGAGACATTAGTACAGAAAGCATGAAAATTATCGTTCGTAACAAAAAACTGTGACGTGATAAAAAAATTAACAATTATTTTTGTTTAATTTAAGATAAATGAACATAAAAATAATAATTTGATTAAAGGTATATTAAACAAGTTACTATTTGTAAACTAATTTGCCATACCGAGTCAAAAAGTACTAAATTGTTATAAAAAAATTATTAAGTTTATGTAAAAAAAACATTCTAGAGATTTAAACCGCCGCCTTGAAATCTTGTGAAAAAATGGCAACTTGGATGGATGGATCTTGTGATTTTAATTTTTTTGAATTGGCGACACTTGATATTCCTGACATTTTGACGTTTGGAAATTTTCAAAAATCAAATTTGACATTAAAGCCTGTTTTACAGAGAATTTTCAAAAAGTGTCAAAGATCTGCTCACGAAACTGGACAAATAAATGTCTCTTTTTCACACCAAACAAACTTATTTTAGTAGAAATAAATAAAAATTGAACCAGTAGTAAGTATGAAATAATAAACCAGTAACGTTTCCTTTCGTTTTTCTATCGTTGACGTGAAATGTCAACAACTGTGAGAAGTGTCAGATTGAATGATTGAAATCCAAAGGACCTTGGTTAATTTTTTCAACTTTTCATTTTTATGGATTTTTTCTCAAATAATATTAATTAACGAAAATCACCCGTCCGTTGCAGTAAAGGTGGGACTGAATTTTTATTTTTCATCATCGTTTATTGTCTAAAGTTTGATATTTTTTGCTACTATCTAACAAAATTGCTACATGGTCCCCCTCTCCAAAAACAATTGCCATGATTCGCGAGAGAGTAGGTTAAATTAATTTTTACACGGGTTGAGAGAGTTGGAGCTAGAACGTTTTAGTAATAGATAATAATATTAACGAGGATTCAAAAAAAGATTCTCAATAGGTATTGTTTTTTCTCGATTTTATGTATTTTATTACTTTACTTG